ACAAAAATTAGCCCAATGTGGTGGCGGGCACCTGTAATCCAGCTACTCCAGAGGCTGAGACAGGAGAATCACTTGAACCCAGGAGGCAGAGGTTGCAGTGAGCCCAGATTGCACCACTGCACTCCAGCCTGGGTGACAAGAGGGAAACTCTGTCTCAAAAAAGAAAAGAAAAGAAAAAAATCCATGTACAGATGGACCTGCTCAGTTCAAACCCATGTTAAGGGTCAATTGTACAGTAATCTGAAGTATGTAACCTGATGTTAACCAATCATTTCTCTCTCTCTCTCTCTCTCTCTTTCTTTTTAAGAGATAGGGTCCTGCTCTGTCGCTTAGGCTGGCATAAGAAGCACAATCATAGCTCATGGCAGCTTCAAACTCCTGGTCTCAAGTGAGCCTCCCACTTCAGCCTCCTGAGTAGCTGAGACTACAGACATAAGCCACTGCACGTGCCTTATTTTTTAATTTTGTAGAGGTGTAGGTCTCATTGTGTTGTCCAGGCTGGTCTCAAACTCCTGGACTCAAGAGGTCCTCCAGTCTTGGCCTTCCAAAGTACTGGGATTACAGGCGTGAGCCACAGTGCCAAGCCCTCATCAATTATTTTTCTGTGATTCTCTCTGTCCCCTTCTTACAAGGAAAGTAATTTTAAAACAACCAATTTAGTCTTGGTTCTTTGTTTCTGCTTTCTTCGGCCCTTCTGCTCAGCTTTTGGGAACACTTATTCTAATTTAATAGAGGTGTTGCCCAATTCTAGAATCACAAATAAAATCAATTAAGATCTTTAACAATAAAAGTTAAAAAATAAAAACAAACAAAAAGATCTTTAAATTAAATATGTTGTAATTTTCTCCCTTGACAGGTTACAAGTGCAGCCTCCATGGAATGAACTAAACGAAAAAATGTCACTGTTAGGTTAGGTCTTTACTTCCCAAATGAGGGTCAAGATGTAGGTTAGCAAGAACCAACCTCTACCATAAAAAAGATCCAAACCCAAGAGAATGTGATTTTTCTTTAAAGCTGTTTACTACAACAAAACTTTCTTTTTATTCTGGGAGATTAAAAACCATCAGCTGGCCGGGCGCGGTGGCTCAAGCCCGTAATTCCGGCACTTTGGGAGGCCGAGGCGGGTGGATCACGAGGTCAAGAGAGCGAGACCATCCTGGTCAACATGGTGAAACCCTGTCTCTACTAAAACTACAAAAAATTAGCTGGGCATGGTGGCGCGTGCCTGTAATCCCAGCTACTCAGGAGGCTGAGGCAGGAGAATTGCTTGAACCCAGGAGGCGGAGGTTGCGGTGAGCCGAGATCGCGCCATTGCACTCCAGCCTGGGTAACAAGAGCGAAACTCCGTCTCAAAAAAAAAAAAAAAAAAAAAAAAACCATCAGCTGACACAGCCTTTTTTTCCTTGAAGTTTCCAAAGAAAACCAGGTGAGTTTGCACTGACTTCCATTTTCTCCCTGCCTTCCTTCTAGTGTCAGATGAGCGTCCCCGCGCTCTTCCCAGGCAGCCCTCAGTGTCCCCGGCTGTCATATATGGGGGAGGGGATGGGGGTAGGTGAGATAGCTTTGTTTGTAAGGGAAGGAGGAGCGGCAGGCACGGGGAGCACCAGCTCCTGCCCCGGCCCCGGGAGCACTCACTGGGCGTAAAGGAGACGGAGGGAGGGAGTGTGAAAGCCGAAACCCGCCCCGGGCGCACGGTGGACGCCCCCAACTCAGCGCGTCTGGCGTCCCACCCGCAGTCGGACCCTGAAGGCGCGCCCGCGGCCACTCCGGCTGGGGCACGCGCACGAGGAGGCTCGGGGAGGGGCGGGGGCGGGCGGGGAGGTGGGGGAGGGGCGAGCGGGTCGAGGCCCCGCCCCCGCCCGCAGCCCCGCCCGCCGCGATTATAGCCGATGACTCAGGGCGGAGCTCCGCATCCAACCTCGGGCCGCGGCCAACTTCTCTGGACGGGACTAGAAGTTTCTAGCCGACCAGTTGCTACCTCCCTTTATCTCCTCCTTCTCCTGTGGCAGCGAGGAGGCTATTTCCAGACACTTCCACCCCTCTCAGGCCACGTCACCCCCGCCTTTAATTCATAAAGGTGCCCGGCGCCGGCTTCCCGGACACGTCGGCGGCAGAGAGAGGCCCGCGGCGGCGGCCCGGCCAGAGACTCGGCGCCCGGAGCCCGCGTTCCGCACCCGCGCCCCGGCGGCCCCCGCTCCGGGCCGACCCCATCCCCTACCCAGCATGAGCGCCGCCACCCACTCGCCCATGATGCAGGTGGCGTCCGGCAACGGTGACCGCGACCCCCTTCCCCCCGGCTGGGAGATCAAGATCGACCCGCAGACCGGCTGGCCCTTCTTCGTGGACCACAACAGCCGCACCACGACGTGGAACGACCCGCGCGTGCCCCCCGAGGGCCCCAAGGTGAGCCGGGCCCGCGGCCCGCCCTGGTCGGCGGCGCCACCTCGACGGCTGGCGGCGGGAAGCGGGCCAGGCGGCGGGAAGCGGGCCAGGCGGTGGGACGCGAGGCGGCGGGGCCTGGGGGTCGGCCAAGGCCCCTCGCGGGCGGACACCGGCTCCGCGCCCCGCCACACATTCCCGCGGCCCCCGGACGAGTCCCTGCTCCCGACCCGCCCTTGACAGGCGTAGGGACGAAAGGAGGCCCCGGGATCTGGTGGCCCGGGAAGCGTCCCCGCAGTGGTCCCTGTGCCGTCCGCGGCTCGACTCCAGGACGGAGGGCTGGGTGTCCGGCGCTGGCCTAGCGCTCCCGGGCGTGGAGGAGGGCAGCCGGCCTGGTCGGCTCCGGAGGCCGCAGTCCCTACTGCCCGCTTGGCCCCCGGGCCCGGGACCAGCGGCGCACGCCGCTGTCCGCGAACGCAAGGGAGACACAGCTTGGGTGGTGGTTTTGGGGGATTTTTACCTCTCAAGTTCCCTAACTTGTTTGAGGGATGTCTTCACTACTGTCCCGTCTGAGGCACCCAATGACTCAGGAGGCTGGTGTCAAAACATTTATGTGCATGTATATATATATATGTATTTCAAATTAAAATTGTATTGTTTGAAGGTGCTTTGGATATGTATGTATCCTAGTATCACTTGTAAAATAAAAAACGGGGTGCATGTCTCCCCAGCAGTTTCTAAACTAGAGAGGGAGAATGTCTTACAGTTGGCCATTGCCTTACCACATTGCCTCACACTGGAGAGAAAGGGAATGATAATGTGTATATTTATAATGGCATTCGCTTCCTGCCTTGTTATGGTATTAAAATACTTAGGATTTGTTACCAGTACACAAATAACTGAGTAATGATACTCTTGTGAATATAGCAGAAGTATGTCTCCAAAAGAGCTGGTAAATTATTTTGAAGATTTAAAAATTCAGCAAATTAAAAATGCTTTGTAACCCATTATTTTAGAAGAAAGACCTATATTATTTCCCTTCATTTTTATACACTTTTTGTTTTAACAATATTGATAAAACTCTGGTTCCCAACAGTGAGATGGTGTACGGTCAGCAGTTTACATTTACGAGAGATTCGTTGTATATTTATTCTTGAAAATTAATATAAGAGGCTGTAATTAGCTGGGATGGGCACAGTTAAATATACATTTTTGGGTGTCTGTTCAACCCATTTTTGGGTGAAACTGACGCTCATTTCAAACCCCCTTTCTTAGCAGTCTCCGTGGATGTACATGATCTTTAGTGTGGTTTACAACTATTACTTTGAGGGCGTCTTCCTGTAGACATAGGGACAGTAGTATTTGCTGGCAGCCTTTGTTATGAGTAAAGATTAAGTTTGAATGTAAACATTGCCAGTACTTTGTTCTCAGCATGAAACTTACCCAGCAAGTTGAGATCTTCCTGTACCCACCTGGTGCATGGGTTAGGCTGTAGTTTCATAAACCTTAAAAGGAAAAAAGCAGGTTTAGTTACCATTATTCTTCTGAACAGATAGAAAGTAAGAACTACTAAATCAGAAGTCTGATGCTGAAAAGGTTTATTTGAAAATTTCACAGTCAAAATGTTCAAGTTGAAAGGTCCTTGAAGATGTTTTAGGTAGGTTTCTTTAGTTTCTGGAAAAACCCGGAGAGTTCAGGTGTGATATTTGAAAGTCACCCAGCTAGTACCAATGGCACGGAGAGCACTGATGTCAGGACAGTCTTAGTAAGAGGCAGTGTGTCTGTTCAGAAGTTGGAAGTGAATGTCTTGTGAAACTGTGAAGCATGCAGGCTAAAATACCTGATTATCTTTGTGCCCTCCCGGCCACCAAGTTATTGGGTCACCGACTTCTGTGCCGTGATTGCTTGGATTTTGATGATGGGACATGATCAACTCAAGAGACTTCTCTTTACCAAATCAATGACTTGAGACTTGTGAGCGTAGCACCAAAACTTAAGGGGAAAACTAACATTCAGCCCATGAGCTGTTTGTGCTTCGTTGCTTTTGATCCTGTGCTTTGACACACCCAATATATGGTGACTAATTCAGTTGCACTTGTGTGAATTACACCTTACTCAAGACTAAATGTAGTGAAAAATCCTTCAGTATCATTTTGTATTCGAAATTGGTTTCTCAATGCGTAATGAGAAAAGGGCCCTCACAGAAAAACAAAGGGCAATTTTGGAGGAGTTGAGCTGAGGCCCAGATCTGGGCATTACCATCTTTAAGAGGACATGCTGTCAGTCAGTAAAAATCTGTTCATTGAGCACGAGGAGCTCAAGAGAAACCTCTCTTTTGGAGGATGACTTGGCTTGAGGATGTTTAACGTTTTTGTTTTATTTTGTTTTGTTGAGACAGAGTTTCACTCTTGTCGCCCAGGCTGGAGTATAATATTGCGATCTCGGCTCACCTCAACCTCCACCTCCTGGGTTCAAGCAATTCTCCTGCCTCAGGCTCCCAAGTAGCTGGGATTACAGGCATGCACCACCACACCTGGCTAATTTTGTATTTTTAGTAGAGACGGGGTTTCTCTATGTTGGTTAGGCTGGTCTTGAACTCTTGACAGGATCCGCCTGCCTCGACCTCCCAAAGTGCTGGGATTACAGGCATGAGCCCCTGCACTCAGCCTAGGATGTTTAAAATTTAACTGCATTAGTAAAAAAAAAAAACAGGAAAAGACTAGACCTTTGTATTTTATTTAGTCTTCTGCTGTCTTGCAGTTGATCCTCCACCTTCCCTGAAGTGGTTAGGACAACTCCCTGTTTTTGCAGAAGGGCAGAGTGAAAGCAAGTGTCTTCTGTTGTTGCTGAAGCAGGCCAGCAGCCCACAAAGATGTTGGACTTAATCCAGCCCCATTCTAAGCAGCTGGATCTCCACACCTGCAGTCTTCCTGGATTTTGATTTTCTGTACACTTGGGCTTCCCACTAATTTGGCAAGTTCATACCAGTCCAGGACCCTTCCTGGCAGAGGTTGGCATTCAAAACTGGTTGTAGCCACTCCTCCAGGCTCTTCTCCCTGAATAAACAGAGGCCGGATACTCTGGAGTGCTGTTCCCCGCTAGGCCTCCCTGGGATGAGAGGGAGACCTCCCTCCCTCATGGAGCAGGGCTGTTCTAGCTCTGTGGATCCTGGAGTTTACCAGCCTGGCAGTCTCCAGGGAGTCCTGTTAAGAACACAGATTGTGGCTGTGTCTCACCACATGCCTGCCCAAACCCCATGTTCAAATCTGAATTGCTCAGTGTAGAGCCCAGAAATCTATTAAGTTCAAAAAGCTATTGTGGTGGTTCTGATTGTGCCACACTGCAGTGGGAGCCACGGATGACCAGTGATCCCATTTTGGGGAAGAGGAACTGCGGATTAGTGCCTCCTGAACATCTAGCCTGCAGAGCCTTTTCCCGAGCCTCCGTTTTCCTTCTTGGGGAAACGCCTGGGTGCCTGGGCTTCTGAAGGTGTGAATATGGGTGTGACATGGGGAGTGAGCGAAAGCAGCACACTGCAAAGTCTGGCAGGGTGACTGGCAGTGTGAGAGTGGGGAGGTGGTCCAGAGACCCTCCTGGACCCCGGGAAGAAGCATGCCAGAGCCTTTCCTTTCTGTCTTGCCCACCCAGCAGAATCTCACCATAATCATTTGACAGATTATATTCAAGCACTGTGAGAGGGAGGTAGAAACATCCTTTCAGAGCACATTGGAAATGTTTCGAGTTATGATTGAAGTAGAGACTCATTCATTCTGCTTAAGGTTCAGCAGAGCCTCCTGAATTTTCTCAAAGATGAGATCATTTTGTTCTTTGCAGATCGATTGCAAGCTGTTGTGCCTCTTAGCAGAGTCAGAGCGCAGTCAGGAAATGAGTGGCCATTCTCTCCTTAGTGTTTTCAGCAACTTGCAGTGATGGCTGAGCAAGTTCCTGTGCAACTGCCTGAAAGTGATTTGTTGGAGAGGAATGAAGAGCATGGCCAGATGCCTTGGAGCCCAGCTCATCTAGGACTTCCATTTTCCCCTCTAAATAACAGCCTGTGTTGTTCACACGAGAATCGACTGCACCTCCGAGAACATCATTTGTCCCCTGTTTTTTTGGGTAGGTTTGCCCTTTATGAGGGTGGAACCTGTACACAGGACCTGTGGCAGTGTTTGATATTAGCCAGGGCTGGGAAGGCTTAACTGTTGGATGCTAGCAGGGCTGCTTGTGAGTCAGAAAGCTTCATGCCACCCATGAGGCTTGCTTAGTGCTGTCCTCATTTCTGGAATGACACGCAGTCACCTTATATAAACCATTCTACATGTTTGTTACTTTCTATTGACATTTAAAAATGGTGTTCTGATGTTTATCATCCAAAGTAGAAAACTATTAATCATCCAGACCTACTTTTTCTCCTTTAAGTTTTGCTGTTTTCATATTGCTCTTAAATGTTTAAGAGAGCTTACATAAGAAACTGCTTATTAGGATCTTTGAGACCTTCTGGCACTGATGAACACAGGTGAGCCCTGTGCCACACCTCACCGTGTTATTCTCCAGCCCCTCCTGGGTTCCCTTTTGTTATGAATCAAGTGCACACTCCTGATCTGCTTCTGCCTCAGAGCATAGACTCAGCTGGCCTTCTTTTTTTTTGAGACAATTACACTCTGTTTCCCAGGCTGGAGTGCAGTGGTGCAGTCTTGGCTCACTGCAACATCTGCCTCCTGGGTTCAAGCGATTCTTTTGCCTCAGCCTCCCTAGTAGCTGGGATTACAGGCACGCGCCACCACACCCATCAGCCGGCCTTCTGAGGCAGCCTCCAGAGTCCCTTGTTTTGCAGGTGCAGGATTTATCTCTATGTGTCACGTGGCACATGTGATACCATGTGAGATATCCGGTGTTAAGTCTTCACATATTTCGATGAAGATATCTTGGGGACCTTGGCAGCTTTTTAGGAAGCCAGGCAGCTTGCAAAAGCTTAGGAAGAATTTGGGGGGAAAGGAATGAATGTGGGATTTTCTGTCTGTCAACATACATATATATACATGTGCCACATATTGGCAGGTACTTGCAGAAGCCTTATCACTAAATTCTCATCAGCTCTCTGAAGCAGAAGCTGTGAAGTGTCTTATGTATGGGACAGCGGACTCAGAGAGGCAGTGTGCCTGGCCTGTGGCAAAACAGAAAGACTTCTGTGGCTTTACCCCACCTTGTTCCTGAGTAGGTGATAGATCTGCCTTTAGCAGGCCTGGCTGCTTTGTACTCCCCAGGCACAGCGTGAGGTGATAAACAGTCCTGAATCCATCTTTGTACAGTTCATCAGAAATATTGGCCTGCTTTTTGAACCTGGGTCTGGACTTAGGAGACTGTCCCGGCTTTTCACTCACTTCTTTACCGCATCTGAAATTCACTGGGTGCCCACAGTGAGCGAGTCCCAGTGTTAAATGCCATAGAGTGGATAAGTCTGCCCACTTCGAGGCCGTTCTCCAGAGCATGTCCTGCCTTGCCCTGGTCCGAAGCAGGCAGTTTCTCCTCTAGACTCCATTTTATTTTAATTTGAATCATTTTTCCTAAGCTCAGCACTTTTCTACTTTGCCTTGGGGTCACATCTCTGTTCAGAGTTCTGAGGCAGAGTCTGTGTGTTTCATCTCTGCCTCTTGATCCCTGGCAGGGTCCACAGGCTCAGAAAAGATTGAAGGAGTGACTGTGTCGAAAGGGCTAGAACATGGGCCTGGGCCCAGAGCTCAAAAGCAGTTCCAGAAAACCTGCCTATAAAGGGTGTAGGTGTGTCCCAGGAAGGCTTCCATTGGTTCCTAAGAACTGCAGAGTTATCCTGGGCTCCTAAAGGTACCCTGAGGCCTGCTCCTTTTTGTCACTTTCCAAATGGCCTTCTCTGCACAAAGGACTTCAGTATTGATTTCCTCAGTTCTCCCTTACAGGTCTGGAGAAGCTCTTTTTGTTTCACCCAATGACACAGCATCTTCCAACAGGGCTGGAGAGGCCGGGAGCTGGCAGCAGCCAGACCCCGCTTCCATAGCTGCACAGAGAGCAGCCCTGGGCACTGTGAAAGGAGTCTCTTAAAAATCTTCTCTCGTGTGGCTGGCAGTAAGATCAGATACCATATACGTGAAGCTTCTTATTCACTGTCAATTCAGAAAAGCCTAGAATCGCAGAGTGCCGGCTCTATGCGTCAGGAACCTGTAAACAACCCAGCCATCCGAGAGCTCCCAGCACAGAGCTGTGCTCCAGTGAACTGGGAAGACTTTTTACAGAAAATTCCTTAGTATTCAATTGAGAACAAACATTTCCCATTTTAAAGTATCTTCCTCAGTGTTTATTAAAGTAGAATTCTATATTTTTTTGTCATTTAAAAAATTCTTCCTTGACACTGAATGAATGAATAAATGAATGGATGGTTTAAAAATCCAAACAGTGGGAGGATGGGAAGGCCCCTTCATGTGCAGAGGAAAAGCCAGACCCTTCACTGGTCCTTCCTTTCAGGATCAGTTCAGACCGCTAGCATCCAAGCCCGGTTAGCACTTCTTCCTGGGTTGGGTTGAGGGGGAGGGTCTTCCTCGGTTCTGATAGCACTCCATGCCCAGCGTCCCTGTGGTCTTGGGGCTGTGGTGACTCAGAATTAAGCTGAGTGCTCTCACTGTCCTGGCCCCTTTCTGGCTGGCCCGATGACTCAGCACCGAGTGCTGGCTCCCTGACCCAGAGCACACTTGAACTGAATGTTCCAGGTCTGAGCCTCAGCCCAACGTGGCTGGGCAAAATGGAAGCCTCTCTCTCATGCTGCATTTTACCCTGGAAGATGAAGGTTTTGGAGATGTTAGTGACACATGGATGTTACCACAGTGTACAGCTGTGACAGGAGTGGCAGAAAGGTTAGCATCTAACTGGCCTTACCATCAATTCTGGGTTCTAGAGATCTTAGGCAAAGCACTTACCCTCCCTGAGCCTCAGTCTCCCCTTCTGTGAAATGGGCATAGCAAAACTCCTGCCAACAGGGTTGGGAGAATCAAGGGAGATAGTGCATCGGAGGTGAATGCCCCACAGCCTGAACTGATGGATGTGTGGAACCCCCAGAAACATTTGCAGCCTGCTCTGTGGAATAGAAATGTGTTTTCGGATAGGTGTGTGGCCTCTCCACACAGTAGACTGTCCTGGCTGTCCATGGGCCTTTCAGATGTCCGAGAGGCTTGGGATCTTGTTTCTTAGATTAGAAGCGAGGCCTCCTCTTATCCTCCTGTACAGAGTGTAACTGACTCCCTCTACCAGCGTCTAGGTGGCTCTCAGAGCCCTTCCTGGGGCTTCCCATGCCCCTTGTGAGTGGAAGACATAGAAGAACAGTAACAGGTGAAGCTGCGGGGCCTTGACCTGTCTGCCGTCCCCTGCCTGTGTGTCCGTAGATGCATCTCCCCATTCTATGCCCAAGACAGGCTGGGGCCTTGTTTCCAGCACTGTGCTGTGTAGAGCACTGGCTTTACTCAGCCCCAGCTCCTCCAGGGGAGGGTCTCCTTAGCCTTGTCTGTGTAGCCCCGAAGTACCAGGCAGGAAGTAGGAGTGCAGCCTGTAAGGGGGGATATCAGGCTGCCTTACTGAGGTACCAATTACCTGCACAGCTGTTCTGGACCCAACTCTTAGGGGTGTAAATGTCACTGCAGATGGAAGGAGGGAGGGGTTTTCCGAGTGCCACCACCTTCTTTCAGGGAGTGTGGCTGCTTGGGCCAAATGCTTGAGAAGCTGCTGTAGGTGGGAGCAGAGCCCCCCGGGACTTAAGGGTCTCACCGTCCATCAGAGACCCTTGCCTGCACTGCAGCTGATGAACTGAGGATGTTTTTCTTTTGGAAATTGTATTTTGTACAGAATACACGTCCGCTGATGCTGTGCACTGAGACCTAACAGACAGTTGTAGGGTGGTGTCTGGATGACGGACTCGCCAGGTAGCTGACCAGGGTGTTCACTTTTAGCATGGATATGTAGCAGATGAGAGAGGCCCTTTTCCTTGTCTCTGTCTAAATTCAGAGTTTGCTTCCTGGGATGGAAATTTCAGGTACTTTCCATCTGTGATTTGTGACTGGAGGATTAAAGCACGTGGCTCTGCTTTTTTTTTTCCTGAAGAAGAGATAGGTCGTTTCTCATGTGCCCTGAAGCTAACTTTTGTGCGACATCCCAGTCCCTACCTCTGCCACATGAAACCCGTGAGGCGGGCTGCAGGGGCTGGGGCTGCAGGCAGGCTGGATTCTGACAAGTGCCCCCAGCAGGAGAAATACCAGCAGCTGCGGATGGTGCCTGGCCTGGGGACGCCTGACGTGTGCCCTGGTGAGGGTCCGCCGAGGGTGTTGAGGAAACGCCAGCAGATGTTCTGCTCCCAGACAGACCCTTCTGTGCCCCAGCCTGGCTTGGCTTTTCTCCCTAGGCCTCAGGGAGATGTGTGCACAGAGCCGCAGTCAGTGCACCTGGGTGTCCCTGCTCAGCTGAGAGTTTGTCTGCAGTGCAGGCCTCTTCCCCAGAGCAGTGGCCCGGCCTGTTGGAGAGGCGGGTGGTTTAGGGCTTAAGTCCTTAGAGTTGTTTTTGGCTGTTTGCTTCCAGGTTGTGAAACTTTAAATACAGTCTTCAGCAGAGAAAGTGACATCCTTGCTAATTAGCCCTCTTAAGACTCTCAGGCTTTTCTGGTCCCGGTCGCAGAGGCAGGATGACGAAGGGAACGTCATCGTTTGGGAAGCGTCGCAGTAAGACGCACACGTTGTGCCGCCGCTGTGGCTCTAAGGCCTGCCACCTTCAGAAGTCAACCTGCAGCAAATGTGGCTACCCCACCAAGCGCAAGAGAAAGTATAACTGGAGTGCCAAGGCTAAAAGACGAAATAACCACCGGGACTGGTCGAATGAAGCACCTAAAAATTGTATACCGCAGATTCAGGCGTGGATTCCATGAGGGAACAACACCTAAACCCAAGAGGGCAGCTGTTGCAGCATCCAGTTCATCTTTTTTTTTTTTTTTTTTTTTTGAGACGGAGTTTCACTCATGTTACCCAGGCTGGAGTGCAATGGCGCGATCTCGGCTCACCGCAACCTCCGCCTCCTGGGTTCAGGCAATTCTCCTGCCTCAGCCTCCCGAGTAGCTGGGATTATAGGTACGCGCCACCATGCCCAGCTAATGTTTTGTATTTTTAGTAGAGACGGGGTTTCACCATGTTGACCAGGATGGTCTCGATCTCTTGACCTCGTGATCCACCCGCCTCGGCCTCCCAAAGTGCTGGGATTACAGGCTTGAGCCACCGCGCCCGGCCAGCAGTTCATCTTAAGAATTTCACCGATTAGTCATGCAATAAATGTTCTGGTTTTAAAAATACAAAAAAAAAAAAAAAAAAAACTCTCAGATAAAGGGGCTTCTAATTCTAACCGGCTTGCTACCAACTTGGTGAGACAGATTCAAGAATTGGGCTTTGTTGGACTGGGCACAGTGGCTCACACCTGTAATTCCAACTTTGGGAGGCTGAGGCAGGTGGATCGCTTGAGCCCAGGAGTTCAAGAGCAGCCTGGGCCACATAGCAAGACCTTGTCTCTAAAACAAATAAATAAATAAATATTTTTTTAAAAAAATTAGGCTTTGTAAACAGCCCAACCAGCTAATACTGGAGAAAAGCTGAGCCCATCAATAACTATTTGTGGAATAAAGAAAGGCAGTTACGGCCTGGCATGGTGGCTCACGCCTGTAATCCCAGCACTTTGGGAGGCCAAGGTGGATGGATGACTTGAGGTCAGGAGTTTGATGAGACCAGTCTGGCCAACATGGTGAAACCTCATCTCCACTAACAATACAAAAATTAGGCCAGGCGTGGTGGCTCACATCTGTAATCCCAGCACTTTGGGAAGCCAAGGTAGGTGGATCACCTGAGGTCGGGAGTTCAAGACCAGCCTGACCAACATGGAGAAAACCCTGTCTCTACTAAAAATACAAAATTAGCCAGGCGTGAAGGCGCATGCCTGTAATTCCAGCTACTCGGGAGGCTGAGGCACGAGAATTGCTTGAACTTGGGAGGCAGAGGTTGCAGTGAGCTGAGATGGTGCCATTGCACTCCAGCTTGGGCGACAGAGCAAGACTCAGTCTCAAAAAAGAAAAGAAAAAGAAACGCAATTATTTAGGGCATAGAGCAGCTTGGAGTTTACAAAGACTCGTACCTTATTTCGCTTAAATCTTGCAAAGACCCCTGGGAAATGTGGGGATCTTTACAGCTGGGGAAACAGTCTTAGTAGCAAGGAGTCCTGTCTCTGATCATGCAGCTGGTGAGCATCAAGGAGGGACTGGAACCCAGGGTGGCAACTTGAAGACACAGGCTCATGCTGGTTCATTCCTGTTTATTTGGACACAGCTGCAAAGAGAAGCAATGTTGGTTTTATCTTCTAAAAAAAAGTTTTCCCCATTGAAAATACATAGGGATAGTCATCTGTTTATCCCAGGATAAAATGTGTCTGTGTGTGTGTGTGTGTGTATATATATATATATATATATATGGTAACAGGTGTATTAGATAAATCTTCCAATAGCCTGTGACTTGTGATTGTTTATAGAGTATGTGGTTGGCACAGATCTCTTGTCTTACCAGGAGAAGTCTCTGGGCAAAGCCTAACTCCTAAGGTGTGCTTTAAGTGGAATGTGGACTTGGTTTATTATTCAGAATTTTCCCCAAGTCTATTATGTACTCAGAACAGTGCTGGGGTAATGGGAGAGACCCTGCATTACAATCCATTGGGAACTGAAAGGATTTTGACTTTGGCTGTAGGGATGCGAATGGCTGTTGATTGTTTATTTCTGTATCAAATGGGCAGTAATACTGCATTCATTCATGCACCCCATCATAGCAAGCAGAGAGCTTCGATAGGGTGCTGAAGCTCGACTCCATTTGCACTTTGTTTTTTTTGTTTTGATTGTTGTTTGATTCAGAGTCTCACTCTCTTGCCCAGGCTGGAGTGCAATGGCATTGTCTTGGCTCACTGCAACCTCTGCTTCCTGGGTTTTTTGTTTTTTTTGAGACGGAGTTTCACTCATGTTACCCAGGCTGGAGTGCAATGGTGCGATCTCGGCTCACCGCAACCTCTGCCTCCTGGGTTCAGGCAATTCTCCTGCCTCAGCCTCCTGAGTAGCTGGGATTACAGGCACGCACCACCATGCCCAGCTAATTTTTTGTATTTTTAGTAGAGACGGGGTTTTCACCATGTTGACCAGGATGGTCTCGATCTCTTAACCTCGTGATCCACCCGCCTCGGCCTCCCAAAGTGCTGGGATTACAGGCTTGAGCCACCGCGCCCAGCCTTGCTTCCTGGGTTTAAGCAATTCTTCTGCCTCAGCTTCCTGAGTAGGTGGGATTACAGGCATCCGCCACCATGCTTGGCTAACTTTTTTTTTTTTTTTTTTTTTTGTATTTTTAGTAGAGATGGAGTTTCACCATGTTGGCCAAGCTGGTCTTGAACTCCTGACCTCATGTGATCTACCCGTGTTGGCATCCCAAAATGCTGGGATTATAGGCATGAGCTACCGAGCCCAGCTCTAGTTGCACTTTGGAAGAAAGTATGTTTTGTTTGTTTCCTTCCTGATGGAGGCGAGCCAGGCCACTTAATTTTGATGTAGGTCTTAGCCATATGGGGAGTTCCAGGATTCCTGTGTTCTTCCACCTTTTTTGTTTTAGAAGTTTTGAAGTATTGTTAGTAAAACTCAACATCTGACCCATGTGAAGGCTCTTCTGGCCTAAAAACCCAGTTAATACAATCTGTGTCCTATTTAATACTCCAGGGCTGCCAAGTCAGAAGTGCTCCGGGACAGCCCTAAGAGTTGCCTTTGTTACTGTTTCTCCTAATTCAGACCAGAGTGGTGAAGCTGTCATTTGTGGATGTCAAGCCCACTTTTTTGGTTTTTTTCTGAGATGGAATCTTGTTCTTGTGGCCCAGGCTGGAGTGCATGGCACGATCTCGGCTCACTGCAACCTCTGCCTCCCAGGCTCAAGCGATTGTCTTGCCTCAGCCTCCTGAGTAGCTGGCATTACAGGCGACCACCCTAACACCCGGCTAATTTTTGTATTTTTAGTAGAGATGGGGTTTCTCCATGTTGGTCAGGCTGGTCTCGAACTCCTGATCTCAGGTGATCTGCCCACCTCGGCCTCCCAAAGTTCTGAGAGGTGTGAGTCACCACACCTGGCCAAGCCCACTTTTTAAAGAGCACTGTTCCATAGAGCCAAGATTGGGGCTCCCAGAAGGTGCCCATTTTCAGAGTTCAGTGGCCACTCAGTGTACAGGGACTCAGTTGTGGTGGTCAAAGCAGATTCTTCTTCATGGCTGTTTCATGAACACATGTGTGCCTGGCATGTGCCTAGCCAGACAGACACCTAACAGGTGCCCAAGAGCTGTTGTTTCCACCCTGCTTTTTTTTTTTTTTTTTTTTTGGAGACAGGGTCTCCCTCTATTGCCCAGGCTGGAATGCTGTGGCACAATCTCACTTCACTTCAACCTTTGCCTCCTGGGTTCAAACAATTCTCCTTTCTCAGCCTCTTGAGTAGCGGGGACTACTAGCTACTCAACTAGCCACCACGCCCGGCTAGTTTTTGTATTTTTAGTAGATACGGGGTTTCACCATGTTGGCCAGGCTAGTCTCAAACCACTGACCTCATGATCTTCCTGCCTCAGCCTCCCAAAGTGCTGGGATTATAGGCGTGAGATATCATGCCCGGCCTCCCACCCTGTTTTTAAGGCAGAAAAACTCCTTGAGGGTTGAGGGTTAGCAGCTTCTTTCTCTTCATTTGTTTCTGGTTTTTTGTTTGTTTTTTAGACAGACTTTCACTCAGTTGCCCAGGCTGGAGTACAGTGGTGCAGTCTTGGCTCACTGCCACTTCTGACCCCTGGGTTCAAGTGATACTTGTGCATCAGCCTCCCAAGCAGCTGGGGTTACAGGTGCCTGCCACTATGCCCAGCTAATTTTTGTTTTGTTTTGTTTTGTTTTGAGATGGAGTTTCACTCTTGTTACCCAGGCTGGAGTGCAATGGTGCGATCTCGGCTCACCACAACCTCCATCTCCTGGGTTCAGGCAATTCTCCTGCCTCAACCTCCTCAATAGCTGGGATTACAGGCACATGCCACCATGCCCAGCTAATGTTTTGTATTTTTTTTAGTAGAGATGGGGTTTCACCATGTTGACCAGGATGGTCTCGATCTCTCGACCTTGTGATCCACCCGCTTCGGCCTCCCAAAGTGCTGGGATTACAGGCTTGAGCCACCGCGCCCGGCAATTTTTGTATTTTTAATAGAGATGGGGTTTGACCATTTTGGACAGGATGGTCTCAAACTCCTGACTTCAGGTGATCCACCCACCTTGGCCTCCCAAAGTGTTGGGATTACAGGTGTGAGCAACCATATCTGGGCCCTCCTCTTCATTTGGGACATGAAACTTTGGGGTGCTCTGAGTGCTGGCGATTCTGATATTATTTGAGTGTAGTTAGGAGTGGTCGTTTTTAGATTTCTGTGACATTTAACTTTTCCTTGTTTGGGCTTTATATAGCTGTTGAGAGCTTGAAGGGACTTTGGAAATCAGGTTGGAAGAGTGTCAAAGCTGGAAGGAACTTGTGGTCACTGTTTCTCAGTGCAGACCTTCAGGCTTTATCACACATGTACGGAATCAGACCTACTTGGGGTTGGGCTTAGAATGTTCCTTTTTTTGCATTTCCTGAGTCAGTACTCCCAAGGGCTGGAGAACCACTGCTTTGTAGAACATTTTTGGGCCTCCCCTTCATTTTACAGTGGAGAAAACTAAGGTTCACAGAGGGCATGTGAGCTGCTTCTGTAACACATGTATTTAGGGGCAGAGCCAGGGCTGGGACCAAGTGCAGTCTCTTCCCAGGCCTCCTGCTGTTCCCTTGGTGCCCATTTGCTGTTAAAAACCAGTAGTGCAGTTTAGACCTGTTCTGAAACCAACAGCTCACCGAAGCTCAGAACCTGACCTCAGGCTTTCTCTAATGATAACTATCTTGTACATAATAGGGCAAACTTTGGCTCATCTGGGGTCATTTTTTCTTTTTCTTTTGGCCATCTCATGGAGTTGTTTGGTGCCCTGAGACATGTCTCAGATTTTTAATGCAATGCACAAACAAGGGGACAGAATTAACCAATTCATTTTATAAATTAATGTAGTAAGATAAGCAGTGAGAGTTCGGACTGAGCCCCTGGGTGCTTCTTTCCTAATTGGATTTTGTGTAATATGTATTCCTGATGTCTTTAACCAGAGATAAGGATGATGAACTCTGAACTGCAGGCGGGCCCTGACCAGGCGGCCACAAGGATCACCAGTCATCTGCTTGGTCACCATGT